GTTCCAAATAGAAAGGCTCAGAAGTATTTATAGCCTTCAGAGAGGAATACGTCTCGTCAAGGCTATTTAATGTTTTACAGATAGTGGGGCACGTGGCGAGGTGTGAAGCGGTTACCGTGCAGGCGTTGGGAAACGTTTTGACATGCTTGCCTAGGTTATAGGAATATGGTCATCATGGCAAGCGTGGTAACGACAGTTAGAAGAGACATCTTGGAGAAAGAGTAATGATGGTTTTCTCAAGAGCAGCAGCTGTTGGAAGGCGAAAAGCACACGTTAAGATCTTGTGGACAACTGGAAAGGCAGGTGTCGAATGGAAAGATCAAAGAATGGCTATTTCTTTGAGCGTCGAAATAGACATTCTTGGGGGGAAATTTGTTGGCTCCCAAATTCGACACTTACTATATTTGGTCTTTTAGACCAAATAATTAGAATGAACCAAGTTAAGAAGAATGCTTCGACATATGGAATAACTCAAGGAAAAGATCTAAGTTATATTTGAGCCTTTGACTAGGGCTCACTTTCAGGCCTTTTCGACTAAAGAGGATTTATGTTCTTCGACTGAGAGAAGGTATCCTCGCTTTGACACATGATACAAGGGATATTTGAATTTTGAATTATTGGAGGGAAAGGCAGTTTCGCCAGCGACTAAGAAGAAGCAACGTGACTGAAAGCCATAGGTCGAGGGACATGCAGAAGACACTTGTCTTCATCTTAGCGCAGAATGATCCCTCGACGGTTACTTATTTTTAGTATAAATTAAGAAACTTGTGTAGTTTTTGAAGGTGTTCAACCTATTGTACTAAGTCACTCAAACATTATCCAAGTAACCGCTGCGTGAGAAAGGATAAAACTGAGAAATGTACGTTGGAAACACCTCTTTTTATTAATGAAAGTCTTTTACATTACTTTAATATTATCTTGCAAAGTTATCTTTCTTACTTCTTTACTTGCATTTCTGCATTTCTGCCTATTTTTCCAAAATCTCAAACATCTTTTCTCTGGGTCGAACGTGCGTTCTTCCTGCTTATCCGTCTTACATAAAAATTAGCATATGTTCTGAGATTAATCTGATCGATCCCGTAAATAAATCAAAAAGAACTTTCCGTTTTGGAGATCAGCGGTTGTTTACCAAAAACAACGGTAAACACCCCCATCTCCTTCAAATCCAGCTCAAAGCCAACTGTGACGGTCCAACTCTGATCAAGTACGATCATTTAGTAAATCAAAAACAAATTTAATTCTATAATTAAACGTTACTAAATTATAAATTTATTATAGTTAATTAAAATTTAATCGAGTAATTTAACATTATTATTAATTTAATTAGTGTCTTAATTAGTTGATAAAAAATAGTTTTCAAATATTTAAATATTGTCTTTATTATTTGATTTGATTTAGTTTAGATTCAAACTTTAAATAAAAATCTGAATGATGTTTGATGTTTTAAAAGAAGAGAGAGATTCACGAGATCCGGAATGTGAATGAGTTTTAGTAATATGGAATGCATTAATGAGAGAGAGGAAAATAAGAGTAATAGAATTTTCAACAGAATAAAAAAAAGTGTGTCATTGGGAAAAGTAAGAGGAAAAAACGAAAAGACAAAATAAAAAATCATTGTTAGATTGATTTGACAAATAGTGAATTAATAAGTTAAATTTGTAATTCATCCGAAAAAGTAAGTGTGATTAATTAGAAAAATATTTTTATTAGTCAAGTGAAGAATAATGTTAGGATATAGAAATAAATAAGAGAGAGTATTAGTTTAAATAAAAATCATTAACAAATTTTATCTCCTATTTTTGCTAATTAAACTAACTAGAATTTGAACTAAATAACATCACCTAATATATATGCCCTATATATTCCATCGGACTTTATCCCCACTTTCCAACTCTACATTTTATAACATATTTATTTAATAATGCATTATTTTAGTCATTTTTCTTTTTTTCAATTTAATATTATTAGTTTGATCACCGTCATTGTTTTTTTTCTTGCTTTGAAGATAATGAAATTATAATAATAATAATTAATTTTTTATGTAAAATAAATTTGAATAAGTTATTAGTTGGATCAATGTTTACTTTAACTAAGCCAAAGATGATACTTATATGAAATTTAATATGAGATGAAATACTGACTATTAGATAATAAAAAAAAGATAAATTTTTAATAAAAATTCAATTTTTATTCAAAAGAGATAAAATTAAATAGATTTTCATTGAAGTTGGAAGCAAAATTAATTAAATGTTTTTCAAGATAAAATAAAAAGTTTCAATAACTCTGCGTTCAATTCAGATGATGTCAAATGTAAATTCCATTTTATGAGTTGAATAACTTTAGTCAATTCAATGATAAAAATATTTACTAAATAAATATGATTTATAAATTTTTTTAACAAAAATGTTATATTTAGTAAATCAAACATATTTTTAATAAATATGATTTATATTATTTAAATATATTTAAAGAAATAAAAAACAAAAAATGTTATATTTAGTAAATCAAAAATAATTTTAATTCTATAATTAAATGTTACTAAATTATAAATTTAATATAGTTGATTAAAATTTAATTGATTAATTTAACGTTATTATTAATTTAATTAGTGCCATAATTAGCTGATAAAAATAGTTTTCAAATATTTAAATATTGTTTTTATTATTTGATTTGATTTAATTGAGATTCAAACTTTAAATGAAAATCTGAATGATTGGCTGATGTTTGATGTTTTATAAGAAGAGAGAGATCTGGAACGTGAATGAGTTTTAGTAATATGGAATCCATTAATGAGAGAGGTGAAAATAAGAGTAATACAATTTTCAACAAAACAAAAACAGTGTGTCATTGGGAAAAGTAAGAGGAAAAGGAAAAAAATCAGTCTGTATGTATGATTGATTTGACAAATAGTAAATTAATAAGTTGAATTAGTGGTTCATCAGAAAAAGTAAGAGGAAAAATAAAACAAAAAATTAGTTTGTTTGTTGCAATGAGAAGTTAAAGTTGAATCAAACAACTAATGCAATTTGATAAAATAATTTTTAGGCATGAAATACCCCTACTTCAATGACATGTCAAAATTAGAGCAAAGGGAAAATAGGACTTTATCAGGTACAATTGTTTTCTTATATTATAGATTCTTATAACTAATTCCATAACAGTCATAATTATAGGAATGGTACAATCAATTTTAATAAATTGGTATCGATCCATATTTTCAACACTCTTCTTTGGATTAGTAGATTTTGACACCAAATTTCCCTCTCAAGTTTTCAAACCTTCCTTTTGAAAGAGTCTTTGTAAAGACGTTCTCTAATTGGTCTTCTGTCTTGCAATATTGTAACAAGACTTCTCCTTCCTTTTGGACTTCTCTAAGAAAAAACAACTTAATATTAAAGTGCATAGTCTTTCCATGAAAGATTGAATTGTTATAGATTGCAATTGTTGCTTGATCATCTACAAACACCTTCGTTGATTCTTCCTGAGCCATATGTAGATCAACTAGAATTCTTCTCAACCACAAAGCTTGATTAACTGCTGTAACAACAACGATCAATTCTGCTTCAGCAGTTGACTGTGCCACAATATTTTGTTTCTTTGAAGACCAAGAAAACATTCTGGAACTAAATGTAAAACAATACCCTGATGTGCTTTTAATATCATCCAACGATCCTCCCCAATCACTATAAGAAAATCCATGGAAGTTAAATTCTTGATTGTAATTGAACCATACACCATAATCAAAAGTTTCTTTGATATATCTGAGCACATGTTTAGCAGCTTGAAGATGCACTTCTGTTGCACAATGTATGAATCTTGAGAGAACACTCGCAACATGCAAAATATCAGGTCTTGTTGTTGTAAGGTACATAAGGCAGACAATAAGACTTCTAAAATCAGTCTCATCAATCTTTTCTGCACCATCTTCCTTGCATAATTTCAATTTTTGAACCATTAGAGTATCCACATGTTTACAGCTCTCCATCTAAAACTTCTTCAAAATCTCTTTTGCATATTTCTTCTGGCCGATAAAGATTCCCTTTTCATTTTGTTTCACTTCCATTCCAAGAAAGAAAGTATTTTCTCCACAGTCAGTCATTTCAAAGACTTTCATCATATTTTATTTAAATTCCTCAACAAACACAACATTGTTTCATGTAACTAAAAGATCATCCACCTACAAAGAAACAATTAAAATATTAGATTTCAAGCACTTCACATAAAGAGTTGACTCACTGAGACTCTTTGTAAAGCTAATGCCCATCAAGTACTCATCAATCCTACTATATCAGGCCCTTGGAGCCTGCTTCAAACTATACAAGGCTTTTTTTAACAAATAAACCTTGTCTTCATGCCCTTTAACAATAAATCCTTCTGGTTGGTCAACATATATCCCCCCTACAAATAACCACTGAGAAAGGCGGATTTCACATCAAGTTGAAACACCTTCCAACCCTTTTGTGCTGCCAAAGCAAGTACCAATCTGATTGTATCAAGTCAAGCAAGTGGAGCAAATGTTTCAGAAAAATCAACTCCAAATATTTGAGCATATCCCTTCACTACAATTCTGGCCTTGTGCTTATTAATGGATCCATCTGCGTTGAGTTTGATTATAAACACCCACTTTACACCAATAACATTTTTGTGCGGGGTCTGGATACCAATTCCCCCGTTTCATTCTTCTCAATCATATTGAGCTCCTCCTGCATTGCAGCTATCCATTTTGGATCCTTATTTGCTTCTGTAAAACTTCCAAGCTCTAACACATCAACATTACATTTTTCATAAATGTCATAAAGTAATCTAGTTCCTCTAACAGGTGGATCATCAACATTTTCATCTTTAGTTAAAGATAAATCATAAAATTGATTATGTTCATCTTTCTCCCAACTCCATTGTTTATCTTCAGCAAAATGAATGTCTCTGCTTATTAGAATCTTACCAGTTTGTGGTTGAAAGACTCTATAAGCCTTTGAAGTTGTGCTATAGCCAATAAAGATTCATGCTTCTGCCTTCTTATCTAACTTATCTTTATTCACCTTTGGCACATAGGTAAAACAAATACAGCCAAAAACTTTAAGTTTTTGAACAAAATGTTTATGGTTATACCATGCTTTAGAAGGAGTTTTCCCTTGCTTTGCCATTGTAGGAAGACTGTTTAATAGAAACCCAGTTGTATTAGCAGCTTCAGCCCAAAATTTCTTTGGTAGGTATTTCTCATGCTTCATACATCTTTCCATCTCCATTATTGTTCTACTCTTCCTCTCAACCACCCCATTTTGTTGTGGAGTGTAAGGAGTAGTAAGTTGGTGCTCAATTCCAGCCTCTTCACAAAAATAATTAAACTGATGTGATATATACTCTTTCCCATTGTCAGACCTTATAACTTGAATTTTAGAATCACATTGGCAAACGTACAACATAATATCACCAAACTTGTTAGAAAAAACAGAATTGGAAAACAGAAACAAGGCAGAAAAATGATCTGTCGCCCCAGCTTCGCCCGACGGCACGCGAGCGAGGCCTCGCCTCTGCATTGCCCGGCGACTCAGCCGCGAGAGAGCTAAAACACAGAAAATCCCGAGACTTCCAGAACAAAATATTTTCAAACAAATTGATCTCAATATCAGAGTACACTAGTTACATCTTAGTTTATCCAATGGGGTCTTCTAATTTCTACCTTAACCACATGCAATCTAATAAATAAACTTTACAACACAACCTCAAAACGTTTGCAATGGAAGCAATAAAGAACATAAAAAATTACCTTAAAATCTGAAAAGAGAAATGAAATTTGCAAAGAATTTGAGGTTGAAAGAGAAAGATAGTGCAAGAGTGCTAGGGTTTTCTCTTTGTTGACATAAGTGTGAAAATGACACCAAGTGGGTCAAAGGGCATATAAATATGATGGGTCAAAATGATGGGCCCAAGGAGAACCCAACTCAAAAATGGGTAAAATTATGACCCAGCGCAGTAAAACGTGCAAAATATTTGCTGTAAAAACGGCGTTGCCCAACGACACAATCGCGATGGGCAAGCGATGTAGCCATTGCCCGACGATGCTGGCGCGATGCACACTAGAAGAAGAAAAAAATTTCTGCTGCAGGCTACACTATAGAAATATTTTAACTGATTTTTTCTACACGATTTTAATTCAAAAATCATAAAAAGACATAAATACTTACAATGTTGGGGTGCCTCCCAACAATTGCTTTGTTTAACGTCGTTAGAGCTCGACGGTCTATGGTGATTTCACAGATCACCAAGACAAACAACGCTTGTTTCCCGATTCACTTCACCTCTAAGATAGATTTTCAATCTTTGACCATTAACTGTCCAAATCTCTTTTGAGATGGGATCCTCTAACACAATTGTTCCATAGTCTTTCACCTCCTTAATCAAGAACGGACCCGACTATTTGGACTTCAATTTTCCCAGAAAAAGCTTTAACCACGAATTGAAAAGAAGCACTATTTGGCCAACTTGGAAATATTTGTGTTGAATTTTCTTGTCATGGTAGAATTTGACCTTTTCCTTATGTAGCTTATTGGAATGGTAAGCATCATTGCGTATTTCATCTAAACCCTACAATTGAATTTTTCTTTTTTCTTCGGCCAAGTTAGAATCAAAGTTTAAAAATTTTAAAGACCAAAGAGCCTTGTGCTCTATTTCAACCAGAAGGTGAGTGGTTTTACCATACACCATTTAAAACGGTGTCAAACCAATCAGAGCCTTGTAAGCAGTACGATACGCCCATAAAGCCTCATCTATCTTAAGAGACCAATTCTTCCGCGAACTTGACACGTTTTTTTCCAAAATTATTTTTAGTTCCCTATTTGAAACTCCCGCTTGAACATTTTCTTACGGATGGTATGGAGTCGCCACTTTATGCCTTAAACCATCATTTTCTAAAACTTTTTCAAGAGGTGTATTGCAAAAGAGTGATCCATCATCATTGATTAACATGCGCGGTGTGTCAAAACGGAAAAATATTTTTCTTTAGAAAATTAGTTACCGTTTTTCCACCCACTCTTTGACAAGCTATCACTTTCACCCATTTAGAAACGTAATCAACCGTGAAAAGAATAAACTCATTCGAAAAAGATGGGGGAAATGGTCCTACAAAATTGATGCCCCCACAATAAAAAACTTCTACTTCCAACATGTTATTCAAAGGCATCTCATCCCATTTTCTAATTCCTCCACTTCTTTGGCATTTATCACAATTCTTAGCATGCAAGTATGCATCTTTGAACAAAGACGGCCAATAAACGCCTGATTGAAGGACTTTTATTGTCGTACACAAACCGTTAAAATTCCCTCCATACAGAGAATTGTGACAATGCAAAAGTATTCCTTTAGACTCCTCCAATGAAACACACCTTCTTAACAAATTATCACTTCCTAGCCTATAAAGATAAGACTCGTCACAAAGATAAAATTTCACATCCACCAAGAATTTCCTCTTTTGGTCCCGAGTTAGATCCCCCGGTATCAATCTGGATGCCTTGTGATTCACAAAATCGGCAAACCACAGTCTAACTTGTACCATGAACAGTTTTTCATCAAGAAATTCCTCTTTAACTTCAATTTCTTGATTTGTGACTTCTACATTGACCAAGCAGGGTAAGTGATCCGCTACCAAATTCTCGGAACCTTTCTTGCTACAAATTTCTAGATCAAATTCTTGCAATAAAAGGATCCAACGAATAAATCGTTGCTTAGAATCCGGTATGGTAAGAAAATACCTTATTGCCGCATGGTCAGTGTAATCAACAACTTTCACACCAATTAAATAGGACCTAAATTTTTCCAATGCATACACTATAGCTAACAATTATTTTTCAGTTGTGGCATAATTAATTTGTGCCTCATTAAGAACCTTGCTAGCATATTTTATCACATGAAATTTTTTTCCTTTTCTTTGACCAAGAACCGTGCCAACAACATAATCGCTAGCATCACACATTAGTTCAAAATCAACTTTCCAATTTGGTGCTACAATTATTGGTGCGGTTATAAAATTTTGTTCCAAGTTATTAAAATCTATCAAACAAACATCGTAAAAAATAAAAGAATTATCTTTGTTGAGCAAGTTTCTCAAAGGCCTTGCAATTTTGGAAAAGTATTTGACAAATATTTGGTACAAGCTCGCATGACCTAAAAAACTTCGGATCCTCTTCACGTTCAATGGTGGTGGCAACTTCTCAATAACCTCCACTTTGGCTTTGTCAACTTTAAGCCCCTTGGATGAAACTTTGTGACCAAGAACAATGCCCTCGGTAACCATGAAGTTACATTTCTCCCAATTAAGAACTAAGTTGGTGTCCACACACCTCTTCAAGACGATATCCAAAATTTTCAAACATAAATCAAAAGACGCCCCGAAAATGGAGAAGTCGTCCACGAAATCTTCCACAGTCTTCTCAATAAGATCAGAAAATATGGTTTGCATACACCTTTGAAAAGTTTCCAGTGCATTGGCTAAACCAAAGGACATCCTCCTATACGCGAAAATTCCAAACGGGAAAGTAAAAACCATTTTCTCATGGTCTTCTGGATTAACTGTAATTTGGTTATACCCGAAATACCCATCTAAAAAAAATAGAACTCTTGATCTGATAACCTTTCAAGCATTTGATCCATAAAAGGAAAAAGAAATGATCTTTCCTAGTTGCTTGATTAAGCCTCCGGTAATCAATGCACATCCTCCAACCTGATACAATTCTTGTTGGAATCAATTCATTTTTCTTATTTCTTATCACTGTCATTCCACCTTTATTTGGCATCAATGTACCAGACTCACCCATGTACTATCAGAAATAGGATAAATCATCTCGACGTCCAATAATTTCACTACTTCCTTTCTTACAAACTATTTCATTGTTTGATTCAAGCGGCGTTGAGGTTGAGCTACCGACTTGAAATCCTCTTCCATCATAATCATTTGCATACAATAGGCCAAGATAATGCCTTTCAAATTATATAAAACCCAACCTATTGATCTTTGGTTTTTCTTCAAAACTTGAACTAAACAATGTTCTTCTTTTTCCGACAAAGCATTACTTATGATCACTGGTTTGTTACAACCATCATCAAGAAACACATATTTTAAGTGAGAAGGCAACATATTCCATTCAAGTTTGGATTCTTCTTCTTTTGCTTCCTTTTTCAAGATTTCAACTTCTTCCTCCCAAGGTTTAACTTCTTCTAAAGTTTCAAGTTCCTTCAAACATTCTTGAATTTCTTTTTCTTCATGGGTATCACGAACTTGAAGTACATTAGTCAACATTTTCTCAAGGGGTGTTGAAAGATGAACTTCACTAGTAACATCCCAAATAGCTTCTTCGATAGAATCAACTCTAAAGCAATATCCTTTATCATTTTAATGTTTAATTGATTCAAATAGATTAAAATTCACTTTTTCATCTTGAACACGGACCTTCATCAAACCATCGTCGATGCCAATCATCATTCTTGCGGTCTTCATGAATGGTCGGTCAAGAATCAAAGGTGCATCACGATCTTCCTTCATGTCCATTACAATAAAGTCAACTCGGAAGAAAAACTAATCCACCTTCACTAGCACATCTTGAGCTACACCGTAAGGACAGATAATCGATTTTTCGGCTAGTTGAAGTGTCATCTTTATTGTCTTCATCTTGATGCTTACCAAATCAATCATAGTTGATGCTTACAATAGATAAAGGAATAAAATTTATGCTAGAACCCAAATCAATCAAACCCTTACCGATATATACATCCCTAATGGTAATCGGAAAAGCAACCCTTCCCGGATCACTCTCCTTCTTCAGTAGAGTTCGTTAAATTATGGCACTACAACTTGCATCAACCATGATAATTTATTGATTCGTAGATCTTATCTTTTTTGTAAGGATGTCCTTCATGAACTTTGCATACGTAAGCATTTGTTGTATAACTTCAGAAAATGGAATATTTATTTGCAATTGCTTAAATATATCCCTAAAACGAGCATAGTGCCTAGAATTATCCTTCTTGGAAGGCGCATGAGGATAAGGAAAATTTTGAATTGGAATAGTATTCACTTTCTCCTTCCCCCTATTGCTTTTTCTGTTTTTCTCTACCTTCTCTTTTTCAATTCTCTCATTTTCAACTAAGTCCTCCTCAACATATTTTTCTACTAAAATCTCATCTTCTAACTCTTTTTCTACTATAATCTCCTCCTTAACAACCTCATCACCCTTCGTAGCATTTTTTTCTCCACCACCAACTTCTCTTCCAATTTGTTGTACCCTAAAATTTTCCCTCCCACTTTTACCCAAGACGTGCTCCTAGAGGTCCTCAAATGCTCAAGGTTGACCAAGAATTGATCAGACTAATTCTTCTCCTAAGCAATGAACCTCTAACTAGGTGTGATCGGTGGAAATAGAACTGACTGTTTTGAAATGCTGGTTCACGAAATGTCGCGGTAAGCAAGAGTCGCCATCGTCTTTTATTTTCTCCAACATGGAAAGGACAAAAGCACAACAAAATTCCTTATGAGATTGTTTCTCGG